TTAAATTGACGAGATGATTCTCACGAACTTCACGAAGCAAAAGGAAGATCTACTAGATATTAATTAAATTATAAATATATCAATTCATGTGAATATGACTGAAAAATTATTTTTTCTGAAAAGGTGGTGTCTATTTACTTGTGACCAAGCTGTGTATTTCACTGACTAATACAGAAATACTTAAAAATTGCAAGTAATTATTCTTATATTAAATTATTAACAAAAAACTTAACATTTTACTCCAAACAAAACAATTTAGCCTTACCGTATAAAATGTAGTGTCCAAGAGGTTTTATAAGGCTGTAGCCTTTATTAGCATCATCTCCATACAAACAGTCCAATACAATATCTACACCCTCAGAAGATATTCTAGAGCAAGGTGAATGGAGAAATTTGCCTTATAATGTATCACATTTTATAATAAAAGATAGTTAAACAAAAGAATTCCAACACTTAAAGTACAAAACCTAGTGATATAAGCATAGTAAAAAAAACTTAAATTTTATAAAGAGAAGTAAGGATCAATACATATGTAACCTTTGAAATAGTTATTGTTAATATTCAGACATTTTAAAGGTGGTTTTAGACTGGCAATTTTTATGGACGCCATTTTGTTTCATCATATTACTTACTATTAAGTACTATCATACTTAGTGATGTACAAGACATGAAATAATTCAGAAAAAATCGCAAATTGACATCGTAAAACTTGTACTTTCTCTCACCATTGTTTATACATGAATTACGTAATTATTTAGAATTATATTCTAAAAATATTATCGATATTTAAAGTTACGTTATAATTTATTTTAGATCAAGTTCTGTTTAGTATACAACAAACTAAGTAAATCACTGATATATATACACACACACACACACACAGACTTTTAATCAATCTTATTTACCACCTAACAAAGATCAGCAGCATTATGAATCACATGATCTACAGATCCTTTATACTTGAAACAAGTTCAAAATACCCTAACAGATGTTGGGTGCATGCATGGTTGATTTACATTGTTTTATTTCACTTCAAAACAACGACTCTTTGGTATTGATTTCATCTATTTTCTCAAAGCAAGCCACAACTGGTAGTTTAGTGCTGTAAAGATTGGACTAAACATTTTGAAGTGTTGCAATAAAATATAATTTTTATTAATTTAAGCAGAATTCTTTATTACTTTGTTTATGTAGTTCTGGTAGTTTTTTTTTCCTTGTTCTGAGATTATCAAAATTTACTAAAAGTTGTTTGCAATTTCCCAGTACAATCCTTACAACTAATGCCTTTTATTTTTAACCAATAGTGACATATCCTTTAAAAATTTAATTACTTTTAACAAATAACTTGCATGCCTTCCACATACTTTTTAATTTCATGCACATAGTCCACACTATGGTCCAACAGATGAGTAAATGATTCTTTGATTGAGTCATGTTTATGCTTTGAAGCTGTTCCAATAAGAGTGACTTCAGGCACAGTTTTGCAAAGTTGGGAGACAGCATGGCCCTAAGGTTCACAACATTTAATTAGAAACTGAATGAATGTGGTAACTATTAGAATAACCTGTAATAAAGTCAAAACACACCAGTTTACAGATGCAATAATTTCAAAATTAAATAACATGTTATTCATACTATTGACAAACATAATTAAATGTACAAATAGTTATCAGAATCAAAGTACTTGAGGCTGAAATATTTTGGAAAGTTATCTTATATTAAACAAATTTGAGGGGGGGGGGGAGTACATCTGATAAATAATAGTTACCGAACTCCTTTTCTTTCATAAATTCTAAAGCTAATTTGAGTTATCTACTTTTGTAGTGTTGTGTTTTGGATTACATGCTTATGTATTTTCTATTTTCATTTTATTGCACCTTATTCCAGCGTGTTCATACATGAAGACAAATTCATTAGTTCTCACAATTGTCAGTCATTTGTTTGATTTTTTTTTTCTTTCTCTAAAAAGAGAAAAACCAAAGACAATCCATTATTAACAACAGAAAGAAGCTATTAATGTAGAATAAAGCAGTTGTATACCTTCTAATGGAGTTTATTTTTTTAAAAATTGATATGAAAGAGGAAGTTCTTAGAGTTTGAATCTTTTTTCACCCATGGTTTGAAAATTTCAGGATGTACAGCAATGTCTAGCATAAATACAGTTTGTAAAATAATTACAAAACTATTCTACATAGTCTACCTTTAACTGTAATTAGTGTACAAAAAACAGGAATATTAAATTTTAATTTTACTGTTTATTGATTAAAAACAAGAGATGAAAAGCAATTGACTAAACTCACCACACCACCACCTGCTGAATGAACAAGAACACTTTGACCACTTCGTAGGTTACCAACATCAAACAGGATTATATAAGCAACTACATAGTTCATCAACATCGCAGCAGCATCTTGAAATTCCATCCCTGGGGGCAGTGGATACACGTATTTTGCAGGAACAGATGTCAATTCTGCCCATGCCTTGTATTCAGTCAAAGCAGCTACTCTGTCTCCTACCTTAAAAATTATAGATGCATATTGAAAGATTCTATACAGTTTGTATTATATAAGAAAAACATTACACAATAGGCTGCAAAATAAGTCAAAATAGATTAGTTGTTTATGCTTCATTAATAAAAAACAATAACTGAAATGATTTAGGGATCTTCAGCATTTCAGAGCAACTTAGGTTAATTGAATTTACTCATAATTCAGTGTATTCACTGCATCTAAGTAGATAGTTGGTAGAAAACAACAAGGTTATGACCAAAAGCAATCTACCTAAAGGCCAAATATTCTCTGAAATCAATAAAAGTTTTTACACAAATTTAAAAGAAAAACCTATTATAATATACAACATCAAGCACACTATTCTAGAAATTGGAATCTAAACCTAAGAATAAATACAAATATGTATACAGAGTTTGTATTTGTTCTTCAAATAAAGATCAATGAACCACAATTCCCCTTAATAGTTGAAAAACCTAAACTTCAGTACAAGTCTTTTCAAAAACCAAGAAATAAACCTAAAACCATACTTTTCTTTGGCTGTGTTTAGAGTTTTAACTGTTAGGGTAGCTTGCCTGTTAATTTAGTGTGTATTAATAGCTTTTACTTCTTTAAACATTTTTAGAATGTTTACTTGGAGGTTAGATGATCCACCTACACTGCTAAAAACAATTAAATGATAAATGAAACTTAGAATAACTAATAAAAAACTTGAAACAATGATAAATAATCAAATTTAAATCTTATGCCAATTAGGCAACACATGATCCATTAAGTAAGCTCAAATGCAAATGATTAGTCATAAAAAAAAACATTAAGTAGATGTAGTTTTACATCTTTACAGCTCTTGAAATATTGCTTAACTATAGAGTATGAACACCACAAACAGAAAGGGATGCCTGAACCAATGTTCCATTCTTAAAATCAATTTTCATAAGGTTGACTTATTTTCAAACACTCCTGAAATAATTTGTTTTGGGATGTCTTTCGTGTCTGGAGTCACTTGATATAATGCAATACATCTCTCAAGAGTATCCTGTATGTGCTCAAAATGGTACCACTGAGTCCATCCTACAAGCTGTATGCTACCATATGCTAGTGTAATTAGTCCTGACTTCAGCCTGGATGATAATGCCCACCACAAATGTGCTGAACCAGTCAACACATTCTTTGAACAAAATGTTTACCAAATTAAATGACCTTCATCCTCCTCAGTATCACCACAAGAAACAGATTTGTAAATTCAATACTTTCGAACTTAATTCCAGTTTCTCTCAGGCTGTTATGTGGCTGTAAGGTGAAATGTGACTATTCTGCCAAAAAATACTGATCCACATGTTAGTTTATACGATGTGTTTTTTTGTACCATTTGAAGAGAACTGTTTTGTGCTTTGATATAACCAGAATGCATCTTATATTTGGCATACTGGCTGGTCCTGTGAAGTGCTTTAAACCATCTGTATATTGACAGCATCAAGTTGTGGATGCAAACTTCTGAATCGATCTTGGAGCTTACATACTATGACTGTAACATGTCAGAATTTACATTTACGAGCAGTGGTTATCTGCTTGTCTAGGTGTTCAAGCAGTTTCCCATTCTGCCAAGAAACTAGAATGTGCATGCACGTGTTGAATGACCACATGTTTATATTTCAAGTCACTTTACTTCCAACTTATATAAGTGACCTATATTTTATATTTAGTGATTTTTCCTTACCATATCTACAATATTACATATTCACATTATCCAATGAATAGTGTAGGTTTGAATATGATACACTGGTCAGTGGAAAGGTGATCCTGAATTGCCTTATTGAACTTAACACCTTGATCTTTATACCATTAAATATTCCAAGAAAATTAATAACTTTCCTTAAAGCTTTCAAAAATGATTGTGAACCAGTATTTGCAAAATACTATGCTCCATGTGCATACCTTGAAATCTGAAACTCCTTCTCCAACACCTTCTACCTCTCCAGCACATTCAAATCCTAAAATAAATGGAGTTTTTGGAGGGCTGTCAATCACACCTTGTCGAACCATGACATCCAAGAAGTTCAGTCCACTGGAAATGTTATAAAATTAGAATTAAGCAACTCAACTTTCAAATAGGACTTCAATTTTTGATTTTTTTTTTTAAATACATGGTCATGAGAAATAAAGTTATTCATTGCTTTACACAAATTGAAGAAAATAAAATATGCTTGTTATATTAACCATAAACCAGTTTTCTTTCTATAGCTATAAAAATAAAAAAGTTGGTATACTTTAAAAACTTAACATTTTTGTGTACAATGTATTTCATTTAGTATTTAAACTGCCTTATATACATATGAATCAGACACCCATATCTTTGAAAGAAAAACACCACACATACATTACATATATAGTTATTACAAAGAAGGTTTTTGTTCATGTAATTCATAACATATATACTAAAAAATTTTGCATCCCATCTAATGAAAGTTGCATTAAAATACTTCAATACCTTTTGTCTGCACAAGATAAATGGAATCTTGCCATTTCGCATAAATAAAAACTACCATTTAAACATGACTATACAACTCCTTGCCCTTTTGTCTAGAATATGATAGTTGTTAAAAGTGAGGTCACTAAGCAGTACATTAGTAAGGATTTACACTTTGTCATGTGCCCTAAAATAATGCTAGTGATTCATTTTCTTTTAAGTCACTTTGATTTTCATTAATGTTGTTACAATTCAATGAAAAGGCATGGAATATATTGTTCCCCAATATTAAGAAATGCCAACCTCATGTTTTAAGTGTTTGCATGCATGCATGAAGCACTTGCATATTGTCCATGAAATTATCTAATATTGTTGTTAAGTTAATCACATTCAAACAACTAACATAAATAAAGAAACTTTTACTGAAAATAAGGTATACCTGTCAGATATTGATTTCAACCAAATAGAATATTAGGAAAAACTTATTTAATTTGACCTAATGCCATTTTGAAAGATCAGGTCCTAAGTTACTAATAAATTTGTAAGTATCTGCATGTTTTTTTTTTATTTTTTTTATTTATATATATATATATATATACACACACACACAATTTATAGCTGATGTGATCACTAATGCAGTCATTAAAATAAAGTATCAAAAATTTTTTTTCTATAAATACTAGTCAGGTTGGACTCTGATATATAAAATAGATCAACATCTAAATTAAATTCTACAACAATAAAAAGTTCATATTCTTTAAAAATAGTATGAACACAATTTTAGACACTTCACAACATAAAAAATACCAAAAAAATATGAATTTCTTTAAGCCATAACTAGCTAAAATTTAAGTATTTTATAAGTTTGTTCCAAGGGTCATGCAATTGAGTTAAGTATTTCTGTTCTTACTGACACCCTCCAGGTGTGGAAACAATTAAGATGCACATTATTACATCCTTCTTCCATTTTTATGCATCTTGTGAATACAGAACAAGTTTTTTTCCTTGTATACTTGATTTATTTTGAATCAAGAAAATTTCTGAGGTTTACTAATTACTTAACCATTAACAATTGTGTAATACTTATATACACCTCAAATGTATACTATCTCTTATCCTGTTGTATGATTTTGTTTTTGCATATTATACATAAAATTTTTTTTTCAACATTTGAGTTTTTCAAAAATAGATTAAATGACTTAAGAAAAAGCTTTGATAATCTAGCTCAAAATGTTAAGAAAGCCGTGACAGATTATCTTCATTCATGAGTAATACAGTAGAGTACAAATTATTTTAATACTAGATGTACTTATGTGGGATCCCCAATTGTTTTTTTTTTTATTCTATTATTATTATTATTTTTTTTTTTTAAGAGTAAATAAAACTAAAATTAAGAGTAACAAACATTTATATTTCTTGTTTTTGCAGTTCATGTCATGCTGTGTTGTAGCCTACAGAGTGCACAATTCTTTGCATGCCCATGTTTTACTGAATTCACAAAAGTGACTATCGCAACATTAAGCATCCCTTATGTGATGTCACTTTAGTGTCTACTGACTGACTTTACAGACAACACATTACTGCACAGTGGTTAAAACAGGCGACTTCTCCAGGCGGCCTTTGGCCCACCTGCAGGGAAATCAGGTTTGGATAGGATCATTATATGGGAGAGAATAGGTCAATATTAATTATTTTTATGTCTTGATTGGAAAATGAAGTTGATGAGGAAGAAGTCTTGGCAAGCAATTACAAAACCCTTAAAGCTCCCTAGAGAACAAAGCTAGTAATAAGGTAAACTTATTTAAGTTTTATACTGAAAGATAGTGAGCAAGTTGAAGGAGGCTATTGATTCACTCTTAAAGTACTAACTATTTAGAACTCATTTGGAGTAGTGTTCAGTTTTGATCACCTTAAAGAAAATGTTGAGTTGAAGAGGAGTCAGATAATTGCTAAATTAACTTTAGATTTGGAGGAGATTAACAACTTAATATAAGGGGATAGGATATTTTTACTGGAAAGGAGAGTGGCCCAGAGGTTTAAGATTGTTAGGAAGTTAGATTCCACAATAACTCCAGATGACAATTATAAATTTTGTAAGCAATAAAACTATTGGACAAGTTTAAAATACGGAAAACTGTTAACTCCAGTTGAGAGTGTTGCTTTCTAATAACGTGGAATAGTTTGTCTAGATGTGGTAGAAGATACAAAAGGAGTTTGGAATATGGTAGTAACAAATAAGACAGCCCAAAATAGAGTAAAAGGCTCCTGTTATCCCTTGGAAATAAAAATAATAAGCAAGGTCATAGAAGGCAATTCAACTCATTGAGGTCACTCCACATTTGAAGTATAAAAAACACCAATACAAATAAATTTTGCAAGATATATCCACAGGTATTGAACAAGTATCTGAATAAAATTTAATTTGCAAAACTAACCATATCTGTCAAACCATTACAGAAGTGTATAACACATCCATGTTCAGTAACATTTTTACCAAAGAGATGTCTCTGCATTATAAAATTAATTCCAGATCTTTACTTTCAATGCTATTGACCTTCTATTTGCCAGTTTTAAGAGGGTACTGATTGTTTGGACATGTGACAACCTCTTCTCATTACTGCGAGCTCTGGATTCTATGAAGTAGGTTCTGCTAGGTATCGACTGAATTCTGAGCAGAGAGCTTCAATTGATACATCTTCCACAAGGGAAACATTTCCTTGTAGTTTTCAAACTCATGAGTTTGAGTTGACTTGGAAAGGATCCACCACTCTTATTTGCAATGACAGCCTCTTCACATTGGTAGACATTCCATTCAATTTTTCTTTTTCCACTTTTCACTCAAGAGCTACACAGAATTCATTAAAGAATTGCCTTACATATGCAGCATCTTTAGGTGACAGCATTACTAAAATTACACTACACTTTTCTGTTGGTACAACCTGTGTTCTGTTCCAAGCAAGTAGAAAGCTTGACTTCCATAATGTGGTACATTGTGTAGCATAGCTCCATCTATCTTCAGCTCTTCTTGCAGAGTTAAAACACAAGCTTCTCATACTCTTTGTTGCTGTTGGTGAATGACTTCTTTAATATCATATTTTATTCAAGGCATTCCCCCTCTTCAAGAGAGCCATCAATCAAGCACACACATCCATAAAATATGCAGACTATAAAAAAACACCAACAACCATTATCTAGTTGGAACAACAGCAGGGGGCTTCATTAGATTTTCAATTCCAAGTTTAGCACATTCTTCATTGTACAGTCTAATTTATAGGCATATTTAAACAAGGCACCAAATTTAATAACCACTTTTCTAGCATATGACATTGCAAATCCGTTAAGGGCAGTTCAACAGAAATTAATTAAATGTGCCATATGTTGTTTAACTTGCAGCAGTTTGCCAGTACCTTCATCAACACATGTTTACTATTTTTTGCATGTACTGTGCAGAATCAAATACAATGGCAACAACATAAGGTTACATCTCATTGCTGTTGATTTGGGAAGCACCAAAGTAATGCAGACACTGTTTGAGACAGCAATATTGGAAACGTATACTAATGCAACTTCATGATCCCCTTAATTATAATTTATCTTTTACTTGCTTTTTGATTTCTGTTTCAGGTTTTTGGAAGAATCCAGGCAAGTACTTTTCTTGCAAAGTAGCCTTATTTTAATAGCTAGACAACATTTCTTCACAAATTCTTCTAAAACTCCATCAGCCACAAGTAAACTCAAACCACCTTTGAAAAGTGCTTCAACAAATTAGTGAATTGCTCCTCAACCTTCTGTCTACTTCTGTTTCCAATAAAGTTGGCTGCACTATTGTAGAACTCCTTAATGTTTCAGCCTCTTGTTTTATAGAAATATGATGTGCACTATGAAGGAGTTCATTTATCCCATCATGATTTCTTTGATCTGTCAATTGATATTTTTAATGCATAGCATTTGCATACAACAGCTGCTTCTTTAGGCCCTACAAAAAAATAATAATTTGAAATCAGGATATTCTTTTACCAAGTCAACAGGTACTTTGCATTTTCTGCCCATTATTGAAGAATTTTATTTGAGGAAATAATTCGGAAATCAAATAAAATAGTTTGTGAATGCCAATTGACCCTTTATCTACTGCACTGCTACACTGTACATGAACAAGTGTCTACATTTCTTTCCTTTCTCTCAGTATCTTCAGCATCCCTGTGCTTTTCTCTATTCACTATTGTTTCCTCTTTTATTTGTCTATTCCAATCCAATTTATTATTTTGTAGTAGAGTTGTGGATATTAACTTCATGACAGAACACAGGAAATTGAAACTTATGTTTTTCATTCTATGCCATTTTACAAGCAAAAAAAGATTGACTATGGCATCTGGAAACACTGGCAACTGGGAAGAGAAACAAAAACAAAGCTATAGTGCTCTAGTAATTATAAAATCAAAATAAGAATAGACATTTTCTTAACAGGTAAGTAAGTTTACCTTCATTGACTCCAGCTCTTTGGTGTTGCACTTGAATCACAGAAACTGTTTATTAACATATAATCTGATTTTTTTCGGTAGTTTTTCAAGTTTAATCCAAATTTAGAAAAAAGTACTTGGGAAGACGGCAGAATTGGGTAAACCCAAAAATCAGAACCCCTAGTTATTTTACATGAATAGGTTAAGTTGTATAAAACTTCTCTTGAGAAAAGGGTGATTGTGTTAAAGTTTATAATATTATCCAAAGGGATTGATGGGATAAAGCCAATAAAATAAGCATGTAAATTTTTAAATTTCTCAAGGGTGAATATGCAAAAACAACTTTGAAGGACCAAATGGTCTCTTGTCCATATGTCACATTAAATCTATAATGAACAGGTACATACCACCATTTACCATCTGTGCAGTAATAATAACTAATGGTATTCCACCCTCTCTTCTTAAATCTTGAAAATAATCTAACTTAATAATCCCATGCTCATTAATATTAAGAGGAATTAACCTAAGTATATTGTTGTCTCACTAATCAGAAACCAATTACTTTTACATTTCATATATGTTTATAACAGGTTTGTCTCAAAGACATGGTTAGAAACTGTTTTAATATTTGATGATCGATGACATTAAACTGGAGTTATGTTAACATTTACTACCATGTTGCAATTTGTGCTACCAGACGTAGAAGTTGCATTTCAAATGCCATAATTGTGTATTAGCATAACACTTATTTTGTAATGAATAAGGATTTAAAAGAGTTATATAGCCAAGGGAGATTACATAATATGAACCTTTTTTGCTTTCATTTAAGAAATAACCCATTTTAAATGCTAGAAGGAGCAATTTCAGTGGTTCAACTGTAGAGTTTGAAATACAAGAGTTCTTACACTTTTAACCATTTGTACACTTTGATAAGTTATCTACTTTTTTTTTTTATTTTTTTTAGTTTAACTCACAAACAAAAACTTAACTTCATA